TCTCTCTCTCTCTCTCTCTCTCTCTCTCTCTCTCTCTCTCTCTCTCACATGTGCCAGGTACTAACCTGTGAAGATGGGGCTGTGCTGCAGGTACCTGCAGGTACCTCGGGACGAGCTGGAGCTATGGCGCTGCAGGTAAGTCTCCCTGGCCTCCGCCCAATCTTTATCTATTCCAGTGCTACTCTAGCTCCTAATAGCGCCCAGCGCTGAGGACTACTGCTAACGCTACTACTACTACTGGAGCGCTCCTCCAGCGTGCTGCTGCCGAATCCTGAAGACTACCTCCTGCCTCCTGAACTGCACGTGAAGTGCCTGGGAAGTCCCTATGAACTACCTGCAGCCTGCAGGGCGGGCCTGTCTTATATAGTGCTGGCCCGTCCAGGAGGCTGCTTTTGCCAATGCCAAAACGTGCCAGACCCTGGCATTGAAGCTCAAACAAAGGTTGTCTTGGAAACAGGCCCAAAATGGCCTGTGCTAAAACCCTGGTCTGGTGCCTAAGTTTCAGGGCAGGTCGATCTTATGAGGGCCTGAAAATGGACCTCCGTTTCAGGCTGAAAGACTCAGGGCCTGGAGGCCCTGTTTTAGGCTGAAACGACACAGGGCCTGTAGGCCCTTGTTTTCAGGCTTTCAGGCTGAAACGACCCAGGGCCTGAAAATGGCCCTCGTTTGCAGGCGCAGCATGTAACATTAACAGAGCCCTAAATTTTCAGGATTTCCAGGGCTCGCCAAAACAGTAGTCTCCAAGACCCCAATAAACACCAAACTTGGCACACGCAGACCTTGACCGAAAATAAAACACGACAAAAAAAAAAAAAAAAACTAAAATGAAAAATTCTCCAAATGCACTTTTCAGTGTTGGGGGTGTTAACCTGGGGCTGAAAAGTGGATGCCCTGTGAACCACTTCTGGTGGACGTGCAGCATACTTGCGGCGCGTAGGTGAAATGCGCTGCGCGGTGCGCAGTGCGCTAATCCCAGGTGCACGTGCAAAAGACAAAAAAAAAACAAAAAAAAACGCCGTGATGTGTGTATACACGCGCGCGCGCGCGCGCGCGCGCGCGCGAGAGAGAGAGAGAGAGAGAGAGAGAGAGAGAGAGAGAGAGAGAGAGAGAGAGAGAGCACAGAGCCCTTTCACATTATTCAGACAACCCCTGCCGGTACTTCAAAAGGTCCCTGCCAAAAATTGGCAAGGGTCCCTTCGGCAGGAACGGGGTGGTCATTGGAAGGATCGTCATTGGACTCATAGTAAGGAGGGAGCAGGCCAGCTACATATGGTGTAGTTTCGATTTCAGGTCCTTGTTTCAGCAGTCGTGGGTTACTGACTTACTAACTCGGCATGTGATTTTGAGGGCTTCACTCCACTACTCACCAAATGTGCAAAACTAGAATGAATCTTCTCCTAGAAACTGGATCCATACAGGCCATACGTTTTTCTTTTCTGCAAGTGCTGATGAGTGGAGCCAGGCC